AAATGCGAATCATGAATCGAGTCGTTGCCGAGTGAACTGAGAAGATCATGATTGACGCACTATGCTCACTCAACATATTCATTCAACTAAAGGCATAGTGATCTTATTCCAGTACCGAATACTTTGGGCTGAAAAATGGTCCATTTCAAAGATAAACATGCTAAGAAATTTATCTTTTCACTAAGAGAAGATAATTTAAATTATGTCTTGTTATACAATATCTTAATATTTTCAGGCAGGAATAACTTATTTAGTTATACTTCAACAAAACGCAATGTCTAAAAATCGTTGCATGCTGTTGATGGAAATGAATTCATTATTAAATACTATGAGTTTATTTGATCCTATTTAACCTATTTTTGATCATATGACTATGATTATGATTGGCAAGTGGATTCCAATTTCTTTGAGTTCAATTAATGAAGGAATGCGGCTCTGAAATGCTTTTATCTTATGCGTTACGTCCTCAGTATGAAATGCCGTGGGAAATTGATTTGGTAATAAAAAGACACATAAAACATATATTTTTAAATTTATAAATTAAATGATTTAAACAAATGAGTTAATAACTAGATATAAAATAAAAAAGTTTTTCCTTCTAAAATTTCATAACCTAAATATTTTCCTTTACTCAGTTATATTTTGCTTACCTTCATTGAAACGCTTCATATATGTGATCTTATAATGTATAGTATTATAAAAATTTGACCAAATCAATTTATATACTGTCTGAATTTCTAATGATCAAATTTAAGTCACATTTATTGAATGGTCTAAATATTGTCTCCTAACATTTAGGTCGCTTTTTTTAATTTGCCAAATAATAATGAAAACGATATAGTGAATACCTGCGATCATTTAAATTCTTCTATATTTTACTATTACATTCGCAGTTATCCCTGTGTTTTTCAGAATTCGAAAACTAGAGTTCATAAATATTTCAAGATTTTTTATTAATTTGATAACTCAGTTGACTTGGTGCAATATTTAAGCCGAAATTGCCTAATTCTCTAAGGAGCGCATAAAAACATTCAAAGTTTTTTCCAAAAGTTTCTCTTGTGAAGATTAGAGGAAATGCTAGCATATTATTTATTATGCTTAATTATTATTGAGTGAATAAATTAAATATTATTATACTTATATTTAATGCTTGGTTATAAGCTGCCAATTCGTTACATAAAATCAATATTGACCTCAATTTACCTTCATTATATGGTCCCATACATTGGCGGAAGACTTTCCCTCTTCTGTGTTTGGATTATAGCGTTTAAGGCCCTTCTCCAAGGACCTTTCGATAGCAGAAAGATACTGAAATAATGGAAATAGTGTAAGATTCCCCTTTGCTATGCTTACTGATTTACCAATAAGCACAAATCTTTCCGTATATCAAATGACCGGTCGTTGTGAGGTAGGAAAATTTTTGAGCAATGACAAAGTTTTCTAGAATCCGATTATCAATAAATGAGGTTTTCAAGATGCCAAGAGAACTGTGAAATCATTGTTGAGCTTTATGCGATGGAATCCTCGCAGTTGAAATGAACATTTCACCTACTGAATTACTAAGCAACTTCTTGTCCAAATTATTCAATTGTTACTTTTTCTGATCTTTTGACTAAGGCTTACTGATATTATCCCTTCAGTTCACCATATTCCGCGAGAATTTAGAAATATAATTGATCGTTAAGTAGATTCAGCGGATTCTATGTTCCTAACCCCACAGAGTTGATTCATTTTAAATGACCTCGTGTAAAATATGTTCGTGCTTAGGTTTTATTCAAACGGATATTTAATTAAGGCTTTATAGATTGATGGATGGAATCAGGTATAAGTCCTGGAATTCTTCCACTTCCACTTGAAACGAATAAACGTGGTGAAAGTTGAAGATATTCGTAAAGGCAAGCATTTCCGTTAGACTCAATTTAATTTACATTCCATCAGTCAAATGAATCCCAAATCACTATGCTCTAGCTGGCTCCCCTATGGGGAAAAAAATTCACATTTACTATTCAAATTTGGGGCTATTTATGAAACTCCCATTTCGCTCACTCGAAGCAATTGTTTTTAACTAAAAAAAATTAAGTTAAAATAATGACAATGGTAGTACCTCTCGGTACATTTCTCAAAATGATCTCAATTTTTTCTGATTTATACTTGGATTTATTTGAGTTTTCCCAAAATAACTGTCCCAGTGAATCGAATGAACATTAAGTCATATAAAGTTGAGCCAAGTGACAAATAAGTTTAAACTAGTATTTTTTCAAATAAATAAAAACCCCGTCGTATTTAGATTAACGAAAATGTGCAATTAGTCTCACGAAAGTTAGTTTAGAAAGATAATTTTGGTAGTAAATCGTGCTTTATAATTTTATTTTCGACTTACAAATCTCGGAATGCCGAAGACAACGCCGACAGCGATGGCTTGAATGATAACGGCTATTGTTAAAGCAATAGCATACTGAAAACACAAAGAGCTTTCAATATATTTGTTTGCCCAAATTCCTGAAGGTTATGTTTAATTTTTAGGGAAAATTGTGTACCATTTTAAGCAGTTGAGCACACGAGCAACAAGCAGCAATAAACCCTATTAGGCAGATAACACCGACCACAAATCCGACAACAATAAAGAAGATGGAGGTGTGCACTGAAGGAGGAAAAATATTTTGGGTGAGTGATGGAATAATTTCAATCTTTCGGTATTCTTTGCTTAATTCTGTTCCAAAAACGGTTTGTCTTCAAATGCTCTACTCTAACGACTTATTATTATTTCAAATGGCAGGGTTTGTGATATTTACCATTAGCCCTTAAACTTTGACTTCAGCTTCCCCAAGGGTGGGGGGTACATTTATAGCAGTTAATTAATAGCGGTTCATTAACCGTCTTCTTGCTTCCCAGTATCTCTGGGTTTCCGTCCTTGTCTTTAGGGCTGGACATCGAATCAGGTGGGTCTTCCCCATTTCCTCCTGTAGGTTACATAGGGGGCATGTGGGTTGAGTGTATACACCCAATCTGTGAAGTTTTTTTGCCAAGCAATCGTGTCCGGTACGTAGTCTAAACTCAGCAACGGCTTCGATTCTTGACCAGTCGGCTATGTCGGAGAGGGCCACTATCCACTGTTTCTCCTTTGTTCGAGCTTTAAGTGCGTTGCACCTTGAGGTCTTGAATTATCTTCTGATTAAGGCCTTCATTGTGTGGAAAGACATCGGCCGGTCCATGCATTGCAAAATCGTTGTTCCCTTCTTAGCAAGTGTGTCAGCAAGCTCATTGCCTTTAATGCCACAGTGACCAACCCTAACAACTTAAACAAGTTCTAAAAACGCACATAAAGTTGTCTAGTATGAATGGGACTAACAATTTTGACGTCGGTAAAAAAGCGTGACATTTGAACCTTGAAGATTCCTTCTAAAGCTGTTTTGTCATACAGGACTGACATGTACTTTTAATTACTCATAAAAATCTTTGCAAGAACCTAGAATTAAATGGAAGCATACCAAGATCCTGCACTTGCATAATCACTCTTGACTCATCTGAGAAAAAGTCACCAAGAACTACTTTCGTTCGTCATAGCTGGTATTAATTCTCTGAATTCGTCGTCATTTTGAAATTATTTAACCAGTCATGCTATGACATCAATTTTTATCACTGCCAAACTCGGTACCCCATGCTGTGTTTTGAAGCCTGGAACACATGAATATGACTTAACGAATTACATCCACTCCTGTATTCAATATTTTATCACGTTTCTTCAATTTGAATATGTTTGTTTAACGCTTAAAAAACTGCTTTGAAATGAGTGACTGCTTTTAATTCGCATTATTTGTGCTTACCATCATTCTCAATAATGAAATTGGCCACATCTTTGGCTTTCTCATTGTCAACACCACTGAAAAATTTGTCCGCAAAGGTAATTGTAAATGTAATAAGCAGATTTTTGTTGGTTTGAAGAATAACTCCAATAATTCCGAGAATTATAAATAGGATCTAAAGAGGCAGATAAATATTTGCGTATTTACTTCAATAGTACATGTTTTCTTATTTAATGTGAGCGAGATGCTATTTGGGTATTAAATAACAGATAATAAAAAGTTGGTCTTTATTTGACTCAGATTAATAATGGCAATTATTGATTAATTATTAAACATATTACAGAAGTCTTTTCAACAACTTAAGAACCACCTTAGAAAACCATTGTCTTAAGTACTCGAACGCACATTTTTAACAAACTTTAGAGTGGAACTAACTCTTGTTTTCTTTCATAAAAACGCCAGAACAACATTACATGACTTCGTCTCTTCTACATTTGATTAGTGTTCGCATCTTAAAAATGGGCAGGGAAATATCCGTTAGGTAAAGTGGTTATTAGGCTCAACATACTATCTACAGGTGGTGTGCGATAGACTTACCTCCACGTGGTGCACCCTGG